AAAATAAGTTAATAAGTCAACCTGCCCCCCCCCCCCCCACTACCCTCTGTTCAGGCCTCTACATTATAATCAGCTGATAAAGTACAATACAGTGCGCCCTTTGATACAGTTCAGAAAAACCAGTTAATAAATTAACTCTGACCTCCTTTCCCTCCCCTACTGCCCTGTGTTAGCAGTAAGGACGCCAATCAGTAAATAAGATAACCCTGCTCCTCCCAACTGTCCTCTCTCCTTGCCACAGCAACATGGTCAGATGACAGAGTACAGAACAGTGTGTCTTGTGATGTAGTTCAGTTACATCAGTTAACACGTCAACCCTGACTTCTCTATAATTGCAGAGACCCGTCTTATCAGTCATAATGCATAACTAAACGACCCATCTAAATTTCATAATTTAAATCAGTCTAGACCTAGGTGATCTTTGTCTTTTCTCAGACTGTATTATGATATTTTTGTCTGGTTTTGGCATAGATAAAACTTGTCCATAGATTACAATTTCATCATGTGCTTGTCAGGTGATGCGTTCAGAGATTAAACCTTAATGGAGAACAATAGATATAAACTTTTTAAGTGTGTTTTTCTGTTGTTTATGATGTTTTTAAAACTGCTGCTTACTTGATTTGTTCATTGTAGTTGCAATGGAGGTTATTATTAAAAGGAAGTGTAGATGTAAGATGGATGTTTACATTGATTATTCAATATATCATAACAAAATGTTTTGTTAATAATTATTATTCCGGGGTGCTATTAAAATGAATCTGAGAAAGTATAGTTTTGACGAGTTAGCCGAACAGTGTCAGTGTCATCACAGTGATGGTATGTAAGGTAAGCAGCTTCACAGAATTAAAATATCAATGACCTTTAACTTTGGCCTCAACATTAGATATTTCTTTTAACTCAACCTGTGGGAGGTTCTGGTAAACATGATCAAGGGTTCTCCATATGCCTTTATGATAGCGATACCTTGATAGCTACGTTTGATCGGTGGAAGGTTTAAAAGACTATATAGTGTTGATGGTTAGAAGAAATACATCATGGAAAGGTGGCAACATTTCTATTGACATCCTTCCTTTCACTTTCACCCGGAAATGAAAAAAAAAATAGAAATTATCTGCATCAATTTACGAATTGAAAACGGAGACCTACCTCCCCAATACACCTGTAAGTAAAAGACATTGTTCACATTGTCAATAAGTCATTGAAGCTGAGAAATACTTCACCCTGGAGTGAAGAAACGCCAAAGCGAGTGTAGAAAATCTCAGATTACTTTATAGTCTTAAGAGGCAAAATATGTTGAAGTACATGTTTGTGCAGGAATTTTAACAGCTCTTTGCTGCAGTCTTCCTCAGTGCTATTGTTTGACCACTAGGTGGAGCTGTGGTCAAAATGATGTTATAGACTGGACTAAGCCTGTGTCTCCCCCCCCCCCCCACCCCCACCCCTCCAGTCACAGTCCATTGTCATTGTATGATATCTCGATACAGTGCTACAAGTAGATTTCCTTATATATATATATGTAACTATGTGTGAATATGCACTCGTCACTCGTCTTGTCTTGTGACTTGTTGTGACTCTGACGCCCTCTAATTGTTCCTTTGTCTATGTCCCTTTGTTCTGTCTTCCCGGGTCTTTGTCATGTGACTTCACATTATAAAAGGCATTGGCGCCGTATTTTCAAATAGTGCTGAAGTTGCTGTTCGTCTGTCTGTTTCTATGTGGTAAGTTGGATGTCATCTAGTTAATTCTAGTTATATTTTATCTTGTCTTTTGCGTATCCAACTCCACTATACTATACTGTATTACATCGTTTTCTACTCTTTAGTTTTCAGATCAAGCCGTATCGGTATATCCAGCACTCTTTCTAAACGCCCTTGAATAAGATCAGGGTAAGCCGTTATAGCCTTTATAAACCGTAGTTATCTATATCAAATTTATTATTTCCTTATCATAGAGGTAAACTATAGAATTATAAGTTATTTGTTGTATGTCATTTTATTTAATCATATGTCACCTTTATTACAGGGTGAAAATTTTAGTTGTAGCAATAAAGTCATTTTACACAACCAGAGAGTCCGTCTGTTACATATAGAAGTATCATAAAACATGTCAATCAACTCAGTTGTCCTAAAAAAAAAACTCCCCATTTTTTGTTCGCTCATGGCTATCAATTACTAACATTAAATTTTCTACCGGGGATGATATGCCTGTTCCTAGGCATATTTAAAATTAAATTTACCTTTCATTAGATCAGCTTATTTCCCTGTATATAAGGCCCCCGGCTTTTTTATTAATAATTTGATAATTATTCATTTCTATAATTGCACATTACATGAAACATTTTCCTTGTCCATTTCTAATAACGACTTTCTTCTTATTTCTGCTTTTGTCAAATGATTCACCATTTTTCCTAAACCTCTAATATATATATATATTTTTTGATTTCATATATATGATGAATATTTCATGTGGACCCAATTCCCAATTACAGATAATAAAAATTCCCCTTAGGTCGCTATACAGAGGACATTCTAACATGAAGTGCCTTTCGCGCTCGACTACCTCCCGATTACAACACTGACAAATTCTCTGATACTGATGATCAACAAACAAAAGTATAAATTTGCAAAGATAAAGTTATCTCAAATAGTTTTTATCTTGTTTCCCGTACTTGTACTTAAAAGACTCTCACTCAAACTGTTACGTTTCTCCAAGTGCATCCGATGACAGTCCAACATGTACCATTACACAGTATATTAAATGAAACAAGTCCACAGAGGAATACATTGCCGTTTTTTACAGTCTACTAACAAAGTCTCCCAGCAAGCAAAGTCGCTCCTTATTCAAATATTTTTCTGTATAAAAGTCACGCTCTAATAAAAGTCACTCTATTACTTTTATTCTATTAAATGTTACTCTCCCACACTGTCTATATATACTAAAACACCATGGAAGCAAAGCAACAGACACAACACAAGACTTGCCACTATATCGACCTTTTTCAATTTCAAATTGAAAATGGCATATTTTTTTTTATACTTTTATAATGTGCTGTCCAAGAGTTCAGATACCTTTTTTTTTTACATTAGGACAACAGCCTGTGGCCCTATTATTATGACCTGACACATTTTCTTAAACGGTATTTCCTCTTTCGTTTTTCATTTTAGATGTTTTTGGAATGAACTACGTGAGACAATAGGGTCGGTCAGTCCCTGTCCAATGAGCGGCATTCACCACAACGTTGCGACCAGCGCCTCGTTCCTGTTCATCTTCCTAATTTATCTACACTGTAGCTGTACCTTTTGATGACAATCAAAGAAACAATTTTTATATCAATCTCAATGCACAACTGTATAAAATTATACTGAGAAATAATTAAGTCTCAAAATTGTGAAAATTTCCCTTAATGTATATGTCGTCAGTTTCATGGCATTACCGTTACAAACGTTATATACTGTTAATAAACCAATAGTTGTCTGATTAAATAGCGATCACTAATAATCATTAGATCGTTAAGGTGACTATACATATACATTTTTGCGTCACGTATCCAATATTCATTACACAAAACTTTGTGTCATTATTACCACATGCAATAACATATGAATTAAATAAATTTTCTTAATTTAATTTCTACACAAATAGAGAGTTTTGCATTTGGTAGTTCAATGTACCATCCATTATACAGTTACAGGATTAATTTCGAGGACACTTTAATAGCCTTGGTTTATTATCCTTATGGTAGTTAAACGACTATTATCGGTGCGTTAATTACAGGGAANATTATTATTTATTATTATTATTATTATTATTATTATTAACCTTTATTATTATTATAATACTTACTAGTAGTAAGGTACAAATTCAGGGCTTTGTGAAGAGTTGAAATGCAAACACATTGACACAGACTGACAAATGATAAAATTACTTGTGAGAAGATGGTGCCCTTGTCATCCACACCTCCTAAATTTACCACAATGGTAACAGAATTAATTTGCTGTTTTGCTGTTAAAAAGGAACAATGCAATCCATGCAATATTTCAGTTCCCCCAGTGATAGTTGATGCTGGCAAGCCACCACAGAAGCTGAATGTGGTGGTGGAGAGACCTATCTCCATTGAGTGTATTGCCGAGGGAATCCCCCCACCCACCATCAGGTGGTTCAAAGGAGGGGAGGAGATGAATGTGGATGCTGATCCACATATAACGTAAGTGAACTAAGGTGTCATTTGCTTGTTATCCAATTGATATTTGGCTGGAAAGAACAGTTAATTTTTTTATCCATATGGTTTTGGTTTGTTTAAATATTTGGATCTTATTGAACACTACTTGAAAGATTTATGTTAGTAGCTTGAAGAGTTTTTAGTGAAGAAAAATGAAAATATGAGTTTCTTTTATACATTTTGGCATTGGCTTAACACTTCCACTTGAATTATGTAATTGTGAGCTAGATGTGCTTTAGCTTTAGTTTTCATATGTAATTCTGTTTGTCTTTACCCCATTCCATTCCATTGTTCTGATAAAAAATAAACTGTTGTGAAATGCACTAATTATATGTTTCATTAGCATCCATACAAATGGCCGAGTCCTGGAGATAACAAGTGCTCAGGTAAAAGACACATCGTCATACACTTGCCGTGCTGAGAATCCTGCTGGTATGGCTGAGAGACACTACATTCTGGATGTTTATGGTGAGGTTTATATTTGAAAGTATTTCATTTAATTCAAATTCTGTGTTTTTATTTTGGTGGATTAAAATCCAAGATGTCATATCCATATTTTTCATAAGGAGCATTTTTAAAGCCTAATGCTAGGCTGAAGTCAATGACATTGCTTCTTTCTCTTGGCAAGTTCAGATATGGTTGACTGTGAATGCAGATGAACAATTTTCAATCTTGCTAATTTTTGTTATATATAGGACTGGATGGTTAAAATTCATAGTATTATAACTGATGATGCTACAAACACTTACATAAGTAATTATATTCATTAATTGTTTGATCATCTTTTTTATCTTCAGTGCCTCCCTCTATCAATGGTTCAGAAAGATTGGAGCAGCTTACAGTTACCATTAATCGCCCAATTGCAATTAAGTGCCCTGCAGAGGGCATTCCATCCCCACGAATATCATGGGAGAGAGAAAGTATCCCTATCTCACCCTTGGGAACTCCTAACATAAGGGTGTATGAAAACGGAAGACGTTTGCAGATTTTGAGTGCACAGTTGCGAGAAATTGGATCCTATGCTTGCATCGCTGTCAACCCAGCAGGAAGAGCCATTAAGAATTTTGACTTGGATGTTCAGGGTAATTGACTCCAGCCATGGTTGAAATTTTGGAAGCAGCAGTGCTTACAATAGGCCTAAATATTGTACTACAAAATGTTTCATTGTATATTTATATATAACTACACTTTGTGGGAAATTTCACTATCTACAATGTAGTTTCATTTTTTATTTATGTATGTTTTTTTATGATATCTTTTCTCAGTTCCACCAACAATAGAAGATGGCCAGACAGAGGTTGCCTCCATTGTAGATACCAGAACTACATTAGAGTGTCAAAGTGTTGGACTGCCAGACCCAGAGGTGAGTATTTTGACCTTTGAGACTTGAAGCTGCTGTAAGTTTCGACATTTGCTAAGACCATAGAAGTAGTTCTTCTTCTATGCTAAGACAAAGTTGCTGCCATATTTGTTATACATTGATGATTTCTCTAGTTTGGGCAAAATGTAATTCTTTATTTAGTAAACGATAAAAGTTATCTGTAACAAGATGCATAAAAACTCCATTGATTACTTGATTTGAAACATCTCTCTTTCACATAGATAGTTAATATGCTTATGCTGGTATACAAGATTACTGTGTCACAGCATAATCTATCAATGTCCTTGAAATTACAATTTGAAATCTCCATTCATTGATGCATATTTTAGGTGACATGGACCAAAGATGGCACAAAACTGTCCTTTGACACAGGTGCTCAGTTACGCTACCGCATGCACAAGTCTGGTAACCTGGAGTTTGCTGCTGTGAAGGTGGCAGATGAGGGCGAGTACACCTGTACTGCCAGCAACCCTGCAGGTCAAGTGTCCAGGAGAATTAACCTCAGTGTTTATGGTAAGTGAAACTGGAGGAAAGTATCTCTCTCCCCAATGTATTATTATTATTATTATTATTATTATTATTATTATTATTATTATTGAAATGGAAATGAGGTATATTAATTTTTAAAGTATTAATGAAATTATGTAAAAAAACAGGCATCTTCATGGTTTCAAGATTGTGAATTAATGTTGAAAATCATTTTAATCAACCATAAAAATTATTTCAGTCCCTCCAAGTATTGAACGGGGAGAGAAAGAAAAGCGGGTTCTTGTTAAAAACACTGTCATACTCCCTTGCAAAGCAACTGGAACTCCCAAACCAATCATTTCTTGGCAGAAAGGAGCAGCACTTCAAACAAATTCCATAGGTAAGTTAATTTTAAGTTTTATATTGTGTTTTATGATATAGCTGATATAATAGCCAAACATAATATAGGATGAAAATGTCTCTCCCAAACTAGTTATTGTTATTATTATTATATGTGTAACATTCCCTTGCCCATACCCTTGACATATTTATGTGTGCTAATTAATGGCATAGAATTTTTGCATTTCTGGATGGCACATTGTGTTGTGAAACTTTGTCCTTATAAAGACAAAGTAAAACAATCAAACTTGTGCTTCAAGTTTTGTAAAGCATCTATGCCTTCATTTATGTTGAATGCAGTAATTTCATTCTTGCAGGATTCAGAGAGATTCTTTCCAATGGTTCCTTGAAAATAGAGAATGCGCGTGTGTCAGATAGTGGCATGTATATCTGTATAGCACAGAACACTGCCGGCACCATCCTGGCCCAGACGAGGCTAGAAGTATTGGGTAAGCTGGCAAACATAGCCCACAAATTATTTTCAGTTTATTCAGAGTGAACATTTGGTGCACCTTTGGATTAAAATCTGGAGTCCTTTTCATTTTAACCCTCAGCTGTATAAGTTTTGATTTTTCTAGATAGATGAAATTATACCAGATGGTTACCTTAAAGGGTACAGCTACAGGATTAATTTCGAAGACACTTTAATAGCCTTGGTTTATAATCCTTATGATAGTTAAACGACTATTATCGGTGCGTTAATTATAGGGAATTAAACCTTAAGCCGTTGGGACCCAGCAGCGATAAATACTACTCTAACTCGTCCTAAATTTACTCAGCTCGCTTTTAGCCACCCACTGTGAGCAGGACACCATCATCAATAGAAAAGTACTCCTGCACTTTCATTTAGATAAACAGGGTGATAAACCCGACGGGGTGAAAATACCGGCCTTTGTTAGTCAGAACAATAGCAGCCCTCGGATCGCGTCGCGTATTTCTCGAATTAAATGCTCTCAAACTGCCTTATACTGTTGAATAACCACGAAGAAAAAATAATAACTGAAAGTCCTTGAATAATCCCACCTTTTATAATACTTTTTTTTACATTTCAAATGACGAATNGGAGCCGAGATTTAATTACTGTACCCCGCAGGGACGACGTATGGGGAGGCGGAGAGAAAAGATTAGGCGGTTTTTCTTTCATGTACATCCGCCATTTTTAGGTCATCGGCTTTGTAAAGCCTGACTTAATTCGTTGAGAATGCCCTCTTAAACCTTAAGCCGTTGGGACCCAGCAGCGATAAATACTACTCTTACTCGGCCTAAATTTACTCAGCTCGCTTTTAGCCACCCACTGTGAGCAGGTCACCATCATCAATAGAAAAGTACTCCTGCACTTCTATATAGATAAACAGGGTGATAAACCCGATGGGGTGAGCGGGGTGAAAATACCGGCCTTTGTGAGTCAGAACAATTGCAGCCCGCGGATCGCGTCGCGTATTTCTCGAGTTAAATGCTCTCAAATTGCCTTATACTGTTGAATAACCACGAAGAAAAAGATAATAACTGAAAGTCCTAGAATAATTCCACCTTTTATAATACTTTTTTACATTTCAAATGACGAACATTTTGCTGTTGCGAAACACGCTAGTAAAAATCACGCACTATCTTTCCCGACTCGCTTTTATTTACTTTGATGCACTTTAAAATTAAGAAATTTAACAGTTATAATTATATCATTGTCAAGGTATTTAATTTCAATTTTGAAATAAATAGTGTATGTATCACAACTGCATAAAGTTTCATAATTTGTCTAGTCGTACACCATGATACACCGCAGTAGGGATATAAGATTGCAGTCATTTTAAGTATTCGTATGACAAACAAACTGCCAAATTATGAAAGGGGACACCTTCCGGACCTCCATACATACGGCACCTGGCGAAGCTGATAGACAAAAAAACAATTTTCAAATTTTCAGCGCGAGATCGTTTGCAATCCGAGAGAGACATATCTGCTAAAAAGACTTCGTTAGCCGAAGAGCAAGACGAGAACGCAAGTTTCGTATCGTCAGCGGGAGATCGTTCGCAATCCGAGTGAAACGATAATGCAATTTTTTTATCCGTTCAATAGCTTCTGTTTGCGGAAGATCGTCAGCCGGAGATCGTTCTCGATCTAAGCGAGACGAAAAGGCAATTTTCATATTCATTCATGGGAATTGGTTCGCAAAAGAGTGTCAGCGGCAGATCGTTATCGATTGTTATTAACCCTACCTTCCCATTGAAATTTATTATTTTATAAAATATTTTTTCACTTCATCACACTCCCACCCTATTTTGGACAGCCTGTATCCCAATCCTAGAAAAAAGGCTTGGTTCTGGGTGTAATGATGTAATGCCTGACCCCATTTTGCGCTTGATTCATTTATTTTATTTATAATTTAGGCCTACATTTAAAGTACAAATTCGAAACAAATATGTCCATAATTACAGTGTGTAGTATACGTTAAACTTTAGTCTTTGTTTATGTAACACACCATTTAATACCACGTCCTCATTTCAGAAACCAGCTGTGGAAACATGGCTGCAGATGACGAATCGCTGACGGCCCCTCATAGACGACTGGGCTACGAGATATTGCCCATCTCCCAAAAAGATCTGGCAACAACGCAAACCTCTGTGCCTCTGATTTTGCCGAACGACTTTCAGTATGATTCCACTTCAGGCAAGCTTGTTAAGCAGGCAGGTGTGAAAAGAACCCACCTTGTCGTGGTGGACGAGGCACTGGAGCTGCTGCAGGATATAACAGATCCAGTCAGCGTACTGGGTATTTGTGGACCATCACGGAGCGGAAAGTCTTACGTTTTGTCAAGGTATGTGTAGGATATGACCAATTTATTATGGTTTGAATTTTGATTGGTTGATAGCAGAATGCACATATTGTAAGGATGTACATCTAAAAGGTGACGGACCAATGTAAAAATCGGAGTACAAGCTGTACGCGCCAACTAAAAAGACGTTTCAAAAGACGTTTCTTTAGTAAATGTGGCTTGTAAATATATTACATAACTCGAGAGCAGCAATAACATATGCCCTGTAAAACATACATTGTATCACGGTCATAATATCCTGCATGATCAATTAAATAGGATTTCGACCCTTTCCAGGATGGCCGGAGCTCATGATGCGTTTGAGCTTGGAAATAAAATGAACTGTCAGACGTTGGGTATCTGGATGGGAACAAAGGTCCTGAGAAATAGAGAGAAAGGTTTTACCACTATCTTGATAGACAGCGAGGGGACAGGTAAATATATTTATATCTCTCAAAGGCATGTCAGGAGGGGGGATGCACGTTTCCCCTGTATCCTTGAGTTTGAAGGATGTTGTTTTCGGTGATAAAGGATTACGCGATCCGATGTTTTAATAATTAATATATGCCACTCTGTCGAAGGTTGTGAATATCACCACTTGGTCTGGTGTACTATTTTTGTTGTTCCGAAGCGGTTTTGCTTGAATATGTTCTGAATCTGAATTAACTGTACACAGACTGTGCTGTCATTAAGCCATCGCTATAATGCTACTCTCAAATGAATATATGACCTCATTTGACTCTCATTTCCTCAGCTGCGGTCAACTCATATTTTACTTAACTATAAGAATATATTTCCGTTAGACTTTCTTTCCTTGACATTCAGACGCCTCTGATGCCGCTCATGTTGGCATTCTTGTGATAACAGTGCTGCTTACAACACAGCTGATTTATAACACCAAGAATGTACCAAAGAAAAAGGATCTAGAAGAACTCAAGTAAGTCATCTTTAAAAAATAACTGTTTATCATTGGAAATTAGTGCAGATCATCATTGGACATGCAGTATAGGGCATTCCATGGTATTGGTCTTTTATTACGCCTTGAATGTGTAATATTTTTTCCAAATCATTTTTCATCAGTTTTTTTCCTATTTTTCTGTCTGATAAATGAAAATAAGGATTGAAATCGTGTTTTGATAACTTTCTCTTTGATGTCATTATGACATCATTTCATTAATAGAATACGACAGACGCAATTTTGCTGGGACGTGGATGTATACCCAGATAGCAAGACGGCATTGGCCCAACATTGGCCCAATGCATGGTTGTCTGTACGGCCAATATTGGCCCAACGTTTGAAAGCCGACTTTAGCTCAATGTCATCTGCCCAACCTTACAACATTGGTCAAAAAAGTTGTCCCACCTCCAGTTTCGTGTGTTTTTATTTATAAATGATCACATCAGGAGTTAATTGCTATGAATTGCTATGAATGGTGATTTACAATCCAGATACCATAACTAACATGGTTAGTGGTACAGAAAATACAAACTAGCGGGTAATATATCCATATTTAATATCATTTATTCACATTTATTACATGTACCCCCTCAAATCCTATGTTCCGCTGTTATTTCCACGAAGGTAATGAAATGCTTATTAATTTGAAATGACACCACCAAATGTCACCAAATTTATACACATTTAGCATTAGGGTGTACTCGTTAAAGGTCACGTGTCTATTGGCCTGTGTGGCTATCGTGCACTGTAATTATCTCCTGTAGACGGCGCCACTGCCTTCAACAAGGGTAACAATCATGTTTTGTGGGATATTGCCCCATGTTTCCTTAAAAGTTTGACGAAATTGGCCCGGACTATTTGGGGTTTGGTTCTCCTCTGGATTGCACATTTCAATTTATGGCACGAGTGCTCAGTAGGTTTATTATCAGTATTCAAAGATGGTTTTTCCACCCTCAGAACATTGGGTTTCTGCAACAAATCACTCACCAAATGGGAACTGTGTGCAAGTGTGATGTCATGATGTAGCCTGGATCATCCCAGAAGTCCCCTATTGCACATGGAGTGAGGTATTAGTTGAGAATGGTTCAGTGACCCCAGAACTACAAGAACTTGGTCAACCACCACTAGAAACAGGTTGGTATTGCTGAAGAATCACGGTATTTCTTGATTGCCTTCAATGGTCAAATTAGGGCCCGTAGGCATGTTGCAGAATCCTTAGGAATGTTTTGCAGGATAATATCGCCTGACATGTCAGGTCAGTCCACGTTTGGAGAGAATACCAATCCCATGGTTTCAGTGCATTGTTCTTTCTGGAAAAGAACGTTATTGCGGCAATTCACTGAAACGTTACGAACAAATATCTCACTCCATTTGCAATATGTGACTCCAGGGATACTGCAAGTGTCATCGTGGAAATGCACTTGCTCACAACTCTCGTCTGCTGAGTGATTTGTTGCAGAAACCCAATGTTCGGAGGATGGAGCAACCACCTTTGAGCCCTGTAATTAACCTAACTAAACATCTGTGGCATGAATTGAAGTGTGCAATGCAAAGGAGAATCAAATTGGACCAACTCCCCCAAGCTCTTTAGGAAGAATGGGACAAAATCCCATAAATCAGAATTGTTACCCTTGTTGAAGGCATGTTGCGCAACCTACAGGAGGTAATTACAGTACGCGGTAAACACAAACGCTTTTAGACAAAGATCATTTAACGAGCACTCCGTAATGCTAAATGTGTGTAAATTTGGTGACATGTGGTGGCGTCCTTTTAATTTAATGGACATTTCTTTACCTCTGTGAAAATCAGAGTGAAACGTCGGATTTGAGGGGGGTACGTGTAATACATGGGAATAAATGGTATTAAATATTGATTTCCTCACCGCTAGTTTGTATTTCCTGTATCATAAATTATGTTAGTTACGGTATCTGGAATGAAAATCACTATTTATAACAATCTTCACCTGTGATGTGATCATTTATAAATAAAAGCACATGATACTGAAGGTGGGACAACCTTTTTGACCAATGTTGAAAGTAATTGGGCCAATGTTGGAAAGCCAACCAACAGCGTTGTGCCAACTTTGGCCCATTGTATGGTTGTACAGACGTTTGCCCACCGTCGACTATCCAGCCAGCCGACGTTGGCCCGATGTCGTCTGTCCAACCATAGGCATTGGGCCAACGTCAAATAATTGGTTATATTAAAAATAGTAGGCAACATAATTATTCAAATGTTCCCAAAACTTTCGAGTAGCACATTTTATATTAAAAAAATTTTTAACGTTAATATAGGTTCTATTTGTATAATTGTAAGTCGTGAAGTGATAATGCAACTGCAAGTGAAAAGGGTTGTTTTGTATTTAGAGCCCTTATTCATGTTACTGGTAAAATTCTGGCAAAGGAAAATGAAGAGGTGGCAGATGATATGGGGGAACATCGCAGGATGTTTCCAAACTTCATGTGGCTTCTGCGAGACGTCTATTTGAAGTGTGTTCACCCTGACACCGGGGAGGAAATGTCAGCGACTGATTATGTGAAAACAGTGGTGAGTTGATCTACTGACTTTTGGTGGCATCTGCCCACCTTCTTGATTTATGATTGAATACCTATGTCACAGGCCAGGCCCCCGTTTCACTAAGAATATTAAAATTCGTAATTGACTATCTGAGTGACCTAGTTAGGTCGACTACGCTGCAGTCGACTAGGAGTGTTTTACAAAGAATCTTAAGTCCTAGCTCGGTGTGCTTACCGTAGTCGACGCGCACTAGAAACTCTTCAAAAAATGGAGGTGTAAAAATACTTAAAGTTTCACAAAACATGACGTTTCATGGCCTCTTTCGGTTGAGAAAGATCTCACAACCATAGACCCCCCCCCCCCTGCAAATAATCCTGGATCCGCCCCTGGGATCCAATACATTTTAAAAGCTAATAGGGTCTAGAATATTTTTTTCATTTCTCCGTTTGCTTATTCGACACCAATCAAAGCTTTATTTTTTATTTTTTTCAAATTATATTGAATATGTTTCTACAATTTATAAGTATCCATGATGGATTTTAAAAAAAATAAGAATAAAATGCTGATATATTTATTGGTTCGTCTCGGATGATAACAATATTCAAAACACTGTGGAAAGGTTCATCAATAAAACAATTTTTAAATGTAGGTTATCCAAAAATTTAAAAATCTGAAAAAAATTGTGGATTTAAATTATGAGTAAGTGTTATTTAAAATATTTAGAAATAAAAACCTGCTACCGATAAACAGGTGCTGCAGTATCAGTTCTACTTATACATTAAATGATCAAAGTGAAAATCCCATTCCCACATACATCACACTTGCATATTCTATTATGGTGATAACGGCGACCAAGTCAGAGCTATTAGCATTCATTTGCCGACTCTCTTTTTCATACAAATTCACAAGTATTTATACTCTATCTCGCATTGATCACGCATTTACTTGTTTCCGTTCCATTGTCTTTTGTGTGATTACTCGAAATTTCCCACTCTTATGTTGTGTTCCCCCATTCAGTATTACCTTATTAGTTAAGTCCTGAGAGATTTTTTTCAAAATACTAAATATATATATATATATAATTACTCATGATTGGACCATATTTATCCTTAGTTGTGTTTAACACGTGACAAAAACTTACAAATATGTTGTATAATTAACCAATCAAATCAAACTCCAGACTGTGCTTTTAAAATGGATTTTTTTTTTCAAAGCATTGTCTTTTATTTTTCCTACTCTTCCTGCTAATAAATGAAGAGAATGATTTAAAAAAATGATTCTAAAAACTTTTCATTATCTATTCAATGTGAATATGACTTCAGTTCTTTAATTGACTTCACCTAATTTTAATTAACTACTATTAACAGCGCTATTTCAATTTCCATATTTTCAAAAGTATCATCTGTCAACGAGTTGCATGCTTCACAAAGGCCGCTCATACCAGTGTCTAGTAGTCACAGCAAGGGCCAATGGTGCATCTGGCCTCTGCATTCCTTTCACACCGGTTGTCCTTGTTTAATTGTAGCAGTATAACCATAAAAACAATGGATACTGTTTCCATGTGGGGAACTTTGGATGCCATGGACGTGGCCTCTGTCGAGGTGCACCAGCCTAGGTATTACATTGTAAGACTGAGACACAATAATCTGTCTGGCAATGTCTGTCTGTTTTGTGCCATTATGGTGCATATCGATAATGCTGTTACGAAATGCTTCGCTCAGTTTGCGCACTGTAACGTCCGCTACTTGTATGCGAAATTTCAAAATTATTTATTTCTCACTGAAATTAACTGACCAAGGGTAAAATAATGTATGTCAAGGTCACATTTTCATCTTAAAATATACAAAACTAAGCTTAGATTCCCATAATATACATCAAACTAATTTAATATATCCTTTGATGGCCAAATTACGTAATCATGTTAAAATTGAAAATTATCTAATAAAAGGGCAATACTTTGTTAACAAAGGGAGGCCAGGGCCATGTATGTGTTTTTAAGGTCAATCTCAACAATGGCTTGAAATGAAACAACATTTTTGCAGAATTTTGATTTTCTAGAAATGTATACATTTTAATGCCATCGTTTAGTGACAAAATGGCAATAAAGCGGCCTTTAAAACTTAAAAACTTGTATATTGATACAGCTGTGGGACAATATATACACTCAGGCATGCAAAAATGTGCCCGAGAGCATAAACACACCAACAACGACTTACAAAAGCACATTTGAAATCGTGCTTTGTGGACACGAATGGAAGGACACCTTAAATTGGTATCAGAACAATTTCCCCAGGACAATTCCCTCCGGACATCCCCCCCCCCCCGACAATTCCCCTCCAGACGATTCCCGTTGAAGAGTTGAAGAATATATATATTAATATACAAATATAAAATAAGGAGCATAAAGTTCAAAATTTGTCATCCATTGTATGAATAATTTTTAGATGATGCAACTCGAGGATAGAGAATATTGATAACATTGTTTAATTACTCTCATGGAGCGGGTCTGTAATTTGAGATGTTTCTCTTTAAGTTCATTTAGGTCCTGTCTCAGTCCAGCTATCTCTGTTTTTTAGATTTCATTTTCTTCCTTTAGATTCTTGAATGTGTCCCCTAACTTCCTCTATTTCCTTTGCATTAGTCTAATTGTCCTCACATATTGTATTAATGAGTGGAAGACCATCTTCCAAACTCTCCATTTTTTTTTTTTTTTGCATTTACCCCCTTCTCACTTATCCAGGTATCCCTTTGATTATCTGTCACTTTTAATTGCTTGAATACTATCCACCTACCCACTACCCACCACACAATCTGTGAATGTGGGTATGCAAAAAAAAAAAAAAAGAAAAATGACAATTTAGGTATTTTTAATTGTTATTTAACTGTATATTTAACTGTTTTAATTACATTAATGCCCATTTGACTTTAATGCGTATTTTCTTTGCCTATGTCCAATTAAATCCCAAAATAAAGTGATTGCCTTTTGACTAAATAGCTTGATAAATAGTTTTATTTCTGTAAAATTATAGTTGGATGTATTTTAGACCATTTTGGTTCCATTTCAAAACTGACCTTGACACACATACTTGACCTTGACGTCTTATGATCAGCAAAAGATGGTTCTTTTACTTCATGACTTTAATCTTCCACATTATTAAGAGATTTGACCATCAACGGATTTATCTAGTTCGATTGAATTGTTTTGGATCAGAAATGTCACTTTTGTATGTGTTTTGACGCGAGTTTGACCTTGACATACATTCACAAATATAGTGTCTTGTATACAGAAGAAATCATAAAAATCTCATTTTTGAAATAATAAAGACAGTTGATGCAATATATGTTAAGCTATTTTGGTCCTTTTTTTAAAGATTGGCCTTGACACTTAGGCATGAACTTGATCTCTGATGACTTCCGAACTTTCTTCAATTGAATGACTATGCAGTTGAACATTAGAGTTAAAACCTTTCACATGTTTTTAAGTTATCCAGTCTTTTTACCATAAAATGAGAAGCAAAGAGTTGCCTGGAATTTTTTTTCCAAAATGTAGGATCAATATTTTCTCAGTCACTGTGCTTATAAAGAATTATTTGAAAACTAATGTGAAATTACCAATATCAGAATATTACTTGTGCAGAATTGAACTATTGTTTATGGAACTATCTGAAACAAAAAAATCACCATTCCAAAATAATATTAATTAACACGATACTAATCTATACCAAATCCTTTTTAAATGTGCAAGGACTTAACAAAAGCCATAGGTAAAGATGTATACTAAATGAAAAATTACTGAGCTCAGTATTTTTCACTTGAATAAAAGTAACTTTTCTGTAATTAAAATGTCCCGTATGTTCCTCAAAAAATGGACATTTGCTTTACCAGAAATGACAAAAACAACAACAACAAAAAAAAAAATAACAACAACTAAAACCCTACGGCCATAGGACATTTTCAATTGCAGCACCCATTTTATGTAATTTATTATGTAGTGCTCACGTTTTTAAAAAGATTTGAAAACATTCTTATTTGCACAGTATTTAAATACATTTTACTTGAAATTATATATTTTCTCATTTTTCATTGTTGAAACTATCACTATTATAACCAGCATTAATCATTTTGATTGTTCTATTCACCTCTGCTTTAAGTATTTATATAATTACTTAATTCTGATTATTTTATTTGTAAACAGCACTGAGACTGAAGAAATAAACATTATTATTATTATTATTATTATTATTATTATTATTATCATTATTATTATTATTATTATCATGCCATATATATATTTATAATGGCAAAACCATCCAAATTATCATAATTGTTGCCCTTATTTATAATTGATGATAAAATAATTTTCATTTGATAGACACATGATTGTTGAACAAGATATTTTCCAAAGGTATTCAGGAACGACTCACAAGAAACCAGTCAAGAGAGGATAGGCAGAGTCATTTCATTGGCTTTTCGTTATGTGGAGGCATTTACCCTCCCCGCTCCGGGGCTTGGGGAAGTTTTGTTGGATATTGCGGCGAACGCTGATGATATCGACCCTGAATTCAATGCGAGAATGGACAATTTTATAGAATACATCCTGTTTAGTCTAGAATGCCAGCGAGGGATGACTGTGGGCTCTAAGATAACAGGTATGGTGGTTTCTTTACTTATAAAAGTGCTTGAGGAATGAATGCATTTCAGTTTATTCCAATTATAAAGTATATGTATGTCTCTTTATAGATAATATTCAGCCTGATGATATATCAATAAATCTTCAGAAAATATACCAAAGCAGATATTTTCATAGCGATACATGTATTTTGCCATTTTAGGGTACATTTTTGTTTTGCAATATGATATAAGTGAGTTTGTCATCAGCTTAAGTAACCTCAAAGTCAATACAATGGCGGATTTGTAGGCGGCGGTCAGGGGGGTACTGACCCCGCCCCCCTTCGATTTTTGGTCCTCTCTTGAAATTAGAATTTTGACCAGCTTAATCATAGTTCTAAACCGAACCAAATGGCACCATTCACCCTCTAAGATACCAAAAATTTTCGGGGCCCTTAATCGCACAGTGAGGGAGAGCTAGAAGATCGGCTTCGCATCCGCGGACACCACCCCCCCCCCCCCCCATCGAATAATCCTGGATCCGCTCTTGCTAAAGATGATGATTCACACAAAGTAAGTAAGGCTCAAAACAGGCATAACATAATTAATGATTTTCTAGCCACGCCTTTACACTGGCATATATTATGGAGCTGAAATTGGCCCTTTAAACGCTGAGTGGGAGAATGGGACAAAACAGACAAGACTTGCCACTCACGGATCGACAGCGTCTTATAAAGGCCGGTGTGACAGGAATGCTTGTCAGCTAGGAATCGTGCTACCTTCCCCATTACTTTGTACAGGTGCCATTTGTCTCATATACTTACCCCAATATTCCGACTAACACTAACATGTACCAAACATGTGGGACCCCATTAATTCTATTCCTAAGGACTGCCATTCCCGTCACACCGGCGTAGAGATACATACATATATGACAACAGGAAGTTTCAGTAGAAAACAATCTAATTTTCATTAATTATAACTGCTATTTATATTAACATTTTAAGCGCATTTTAAAGTCAGCTCATTTAATGCTTAGGGGATCAGCTTGCCACAATGTTAAAGGACTATGTAAAAGCTGTCAATGATCCAGACACCATACCTGCCGTAAAGAGTGCCTGGGATGCTAGTGTGGAATTAAGATGCAAGAAAATACTGGAAGACATGGTGGTGAAGTACAACACAGATATGACGGTACGTGAAACATATTCTGATGGCATTAAGTGGTATATATTGGGGCAGGGGATTTTTTTGTACTCCTAGCTGCACACTGCTTTTAACTGTCAAAAGGATTTATTTGTGTTGCCTCGTATTTTACCTTGGTTTATAAAAATTCAAATGTTTAAAATGGTATTATATATTTTTGAAAAAAAAAAAAAACAAAAACAAAAACAAAAAACAAAGCAAGGCAAATGAACTAAACAACATAGAAAAAAGAACAGATAAACAATGCTACAAAAAACTTAAAAATTAATGACACCTTGCTAGAACATTTAAAGAAACATTATCTCTTTCTTCTAAGTCTATCTTTATATCAAAAATGCTTTTCTGGAGTATAGTGCATGACTTCCTTGGCCATACTACCTTGTAGTTACTGGAACACACCCCATGTTAAGCACGTATTTGATGTCAATGTAGCAAAAAAGAATAAAGAAAGAAAGAAAAGAAAATAGTAGTTTAAAAAAACTTACATGTGCAGAAAAAATATTACTATTCATATTACTCGAAAAAAAAAGGTTCAAATATGACCTAAAGCCTCGGTCACAACCGGAAGCACGAATTTCAGGATCGTACGTCCCCTGCGATTTTGGGGTGTTGCGGAGGCCGTGGAGGTCGTAGAGGTAGAGGAAAGTCTGCCTTGCGAGTCGCAAGGGCCACATGTGATGTCCTTTCAAGCAGGGACGCTGCTAATTGCAAGGCGTGATGGCCGTAGAAATTGTACTAATTTCTTAAGTTTGCCTTGCTTCCTGTGTACGTGGCACACACTCACCACTTACAAAGGGAATGCAACGCACGGCAAAAGTAGTGCCCTTTTTGCGTCAGTTTTGCTTCACACTTGCCTCACACGTTTGTGGTGACGTACTGACGGCGTACGTCAGTTTTGCTTCCTGTTCTTCTCTTCTTTCTTCTTCCTTCTCCCTTTTTTTCTACTATGTAAGCTTCTTTCTCTTGCCTTTTGGAGGCATATTAGAAAATAAATTGAGGAAAAATTTTAAAATTTTGAAAATTATTGTACACGTTACACAGTCGACGTTCATTGTAAAGACACGAGCGTGCGTTGTGAGCACGCCTTTTATACAAGAGGCGTGGAGGTGACGCACGTGCGACTAATTCCCGGTGTGTTATCTACTTTTTTCTTTAGTTGTGAGGGCCTGCGCCTTACTCAACACGCAAAGGGCACTTGCTCCTTTATTGCTTGAGACGTGCGTCTTGCAAAACGCGCATCTCTCTTGCTAACTCCTTTCGAGGGGAGCAAGTTACGCTTGCGGCCTCGCTGTTCGCAGGCTATTCGTAGAATCTTTTGGACATGTCCAACATCTTCCGTTCGTGCTTACGGGCTGTCTGCGAACTCGAAATTTCCAAAGAAGGACTTTCGTGGGACGTGAAATTTTACATAAATTTTGGACGTAAACAGCCCATAAGTGCCCGAGTGACCGAGTCTTTCAGACAACCATCTCAGGTAAGGTTCTGCAACGTGGTGTGGTGTGTTGATCTTTCTTTTAGGGGGTGATGCTCTGGCTTTGAGGAAGCCCAATAAGGAAAAACACACTCAGCTAACACACCCGGCACATAGTCAACTTCTTGGCTCACTACGGTGTTGGCTCCGTACATCAGGCTCGTATGATTCCTAGCTTGTAAATAAAGCCTGGGTCCTAACTCAACATACAGGCTTCTACGTCTGGTCTACGACCAACATATTGGGGAAAACTTGGGATTTCCTACGTGAGGAACATGTTCACCGTGCAACCTTTGGAGGTCGCAGCCAGCACCTAGAAAATTTTCGACATGATCAACAGCCGCTGCGTGTGGTCTACGAGTTCTAAAAAAAAATGGTAAAAAAAGTACGACCATGTGAGGAAATTCTCTTTTTCCCCTCTGCGCCTGGGTGACTACGGTGCGTGCGATGCACGTGGTTAAGGAGCTCGATACACATATTTATTTCTTACTCACTACGTGCTCACTCCGCACTTTTGCGCGCCTAGCGTGTGAAACTCAAGGGCTTCGTGCATTTTGAGCGAGACATGATCACTCCATGCTCTCCTCTGAATCTAACTTTAAACCAAAATCTTCCCAATCAGGAGGCTCAAAATGTATTTGCTAGGGTCTGCCTTTCGAGCCACACCATGGCGGCGATTCCGTGTCGACTGTCATGTGACGACAGCAATACAATTAGCAGTGTCACCTTTAGTGACAGTTCCCTGAAGATGTTTTTGTGATAAGGTGCACGGTACGGGTTTAATTTTTTGCCTTTTCATAATAAACCCTGTTTCACTGACAATAATTGATATCCGTGAATTTGTATTCCTGTGGCAATCATCTTGTTTTTTTTTTTTCAAAATGACATATGATACACATTTTATATTCACCAGCTATGTATTGAATAGTTAATAACCATGTTGAAATACTGTAAAACAAGCTTAAGATAACTTCTGTCATAATCCTGACACTTTTCCCGGGTAGGGGCTACAAACAGGAAGTCATCAAAAACCTGGACCATTGGATGGGCCTTGAATTTGTTTTCTGCGATCCATTGGAGGGAGGTACTAAACATCACAAGTATTTTACATGAAGAAGAACAGCCCATTGAGAGGCTGGTGTCGAAATAGTATTTACCCCTCCATGTGAAACCCAGCAGGTGTTGATCAGCAGGGTGAACCATAATAATCCTGAAAGCTGATTCCACATCAGTCTTAGCCATCCAAGAATAACGCCCAGACTCATTGATGAGTTATATTACATTTTCAGTCGTGTGATATCGAACCGAGGAGAATTCCTTGTCAGCACCATCATTAAATGACTGCGCTGCGGGGAATGAGAGATCATAGATAAGTCTGAACTTACCTGGGTCTTTCTTGGGTTGAAGGCCAATGGGAGATATGGCCAAATGTGAGAAGTTTTTAGGCGTGAAAGGGCCTGCCTAGTTTTAATTCAGAGCCCAATTTCTGATCTACAATCTCAGGCCTATCCATGGCGGATTTATGATTGCGACCCGAAAAAGAGTACTGCAAGCCATTGTGACCCAGCCTGTATCAAGCTGTAAAACCTGAAACCAATTGCCTTTTCAGAATGGGAGGGGGTAGCCTGACAAATGTAGCCTGACTGTGTAACATATCATTGTCCTTAGGCTATCATTTTCTTAAATATCTTAGTTTAAAGTTAATACTGATATCAAACTGTTGATATGGTTTTCTGGGGGTGTTCTTTCTTTTGAATGTCATCTTATGTCAGATTTGATATTATTGACCAAAATATCTCACAATAGGAAACTGGATATTTTTATCGCTTAATGACATACTTTTTTGATGAATCAAGCCAAAAAATATTTAATCAGCACTCAAAAATAATAATGATAAAAAATATTCCATATTAAGTAGTAACCCTGTAGTTTGGGGTTGTGTGGGCAGGTGTTCCACCTTCTTGGCGATTGCAATGGAAAGCTGGGGGCCGAGCAATGGAAGCATTTGTGGTCGTACCCGCCATTTCCGGAGTGGAATTTGAAACAGACCCCCGTCGGAAAGGTCCTACGTTCATGTACGGGTGCGAAGGGTGGGTGATCAAAAAATAGAGAAGGAAAATCGAATAGATTCAGCTGAAATTTTTGCATCTCGTAGTGGGAAGGAAGAGCAAACGACAGTGTTTTTGAGAAACTCGGACTTAAGCACAATTTATTTAACAACCTCAAAAAAGGAATCTTATTTTTCTGGGCCACCAGCTGCGATTGGAAAAATTATAGTTGTTTACAACAGCTTTTCAAAACGTTCTAATAAAGAGAAATCGTGACAGGCTGAGGTTTGAATACAAAACCAACATGCAAAAATGGTCAAGAAAAATTTTGATAATATAGAAAGTTGATGGCAGTTGTTAGGAAGAAGTGAGGGGGGGGGCCTGGTTGACAGAATGTGCTTCGATATACGGAGGATCGGGCAGATGACGATGATGATATTCAAAATTTGTTTAAAATATTATTTTGTGCTGTTCCAGGTAATGCAGTTACTAAAATTGTTTGTTTTCTCTCTTAACACAACCTGTCTTCTTTATTCTATTCTAACTGGAGGATCAGAGAGGCGATACTGCCTCCAAGTATTGTACCACCGGCTGGAGCAAGAGCATGCGTGGGGAAAGAGGGACACCAACTCCACTGTTGTACTTGAGAAGCTCTACAAAATGCAGTTAGAAAGAGTTCTTTTTTATTGTTGTTGAAAACTACAATTTATAACAAGTTCATGGGGAAAAGTAAAAGGTCAAATGCAAATTTGTGAAGTGCAGTTCGTGGTGAAAAGGAGGTCAAGGGTCAAATTCAAGGTCACAGGAAGACTGTCAATATATGAGACCCTATTCAAGTCCAGTAGTATCAGTAGTATGACCCGTTTCACATTTAAATAAAGGTCAAAGGTCCAATCCAAGGGCATATTTGAAATCTTCACATATGACATTCGGTCAGCCATAAATAAAATTCTTTCCCATATTTCTTTTGGTTTGGTATTTAGCATTTACTTTTGCCAATTTTGGACAAGGGTGCATTGCAACAAGTGCCGCACCTAGACCCAATACCGACAACGCCCAAAATTCACATGGATCGCCTTGAATTTATATGTGACCTACATACAAGAGATGGATACAGAGGCTCTTGTAGTTTAGGAGGAGAAACGGTAACGGTGTCGTAGCAACGGAGCCGGCGGGACTTAACTCATGTGTACCGCCAGCGACGCGCTGGTGGTACAATGAATAGCGATTTCAAACTACGAAGTCAGGTGCCATAATAAATGAGTTAATGTTTTTGTCATCCGCTGTAGTGAAAATCAGGAATGTATATCATATTTCCTATTTTCCAAATTATTGACTTTCAGAGAATGTTTGTAACCAGGTCTTTGGTATGGAATTTAGCCGCACGTTATGTTAAGCCTCGGTCACAACCGGACGCACGAATTTCAGGATTATACGTCCCCTGCGATTTTTGGCGGTTGCAGAGGCCGTGGAGGTCGTAGAGGTATAGGAAAGTCTGCCTTGCGAGTCGCAAGGGCCACATGAGATGTCCTTTTAGGCAGGGACACTAATTGCAAGGAGCGATGGCCTTGGAAATTGTGCTCATCTTTTGAGTTTGTCTTGCTTCCTGTGTACGTGGCACACACTCACCACTTACAAAGGGAATGCAACGCACGGCGAAATTAGTACCCTTTTGCATCAGTTTTGCTTCACACTTGCCTCACACGTTTGTGGTGACGTACTGACGGCGTACGTCAGTTTTGCTTCCTGTTCTCCTCTTCTTTCTTCTTCCTTCTCCCTTTTTTCTACTACGTAAGCTTCTTTCTCTTGCCTTTTGGAGGAATATTAGAAACTAAACAGCAAAAATTTGAAAATTTTGAAACTTGTTGTACACGTTACACAGGCGACGTTCATTGTAAAGACATGAGTGTGCGTCGTGAGCACGCCTTTTATACACCAGGCGTGGAGGTGACGCACGTGCGACGCATTCCCGGTGTGTTCTCGACTTTGTTGGTTAGCTGTGAGGGCGTGCGCCTTACTCAACACGCAAAGGGCACTTGCTCCTTCATTGCTTGCGCCGTGCGTCTTGCACAACGCACGCCTCTCTTGCTAACTCCGTGCTAGGGCGCAAGTTACGCTTGCGGCCTCGCTGTTGGCAGGCTATTCGTAGAATCTTTTGAACTCCGTACGTGCTTACGGGCTGTCTGCGAACTCGAAATTGCGTAAGAAGGACTTGCGTGGGACGTGAGATTCTGCCCAAAATTTGGACGCAAACAGCCTGTAAGAGCCCGTACGGCTGGTTGTGACCGAGGCTTTATATAAAGGTGAATATTTCCATTTCTGAAAATTATTCATTTGCAATAAGTAATAATGGAGAAACAAACACATCTGTATGTGACAAGTTTTTAGTTGCACTATCCTGTAAGTCATGATATATGAATTTATTGTCGTTTAACGAGTCAACGCAAAATGTGTTAGAGAAGTAATTCAGGTGAGGAAATGAGTTCATAGGGCGGGGAGTTTGACATGCGCAGACTGTGCATTGCACAATAGTATAAAAGGAAATGTGAGATGAGCAGATTTCATTCGAGGCTGTTTTCAGCTTGCTGCGTCTGGTCCAAGTAAATCGCAAATATGAAACAAAGAATATTTTAAATGATATAGAAGTTTGGTCAAGAAAGTAATATATCAGAGAAGGCACAAAATGGAACAGTTGTAATAAGTTAATTGGAGTATTAAAGGGTATGTGCTTAGAAATAATTATGATTAATGAAGTAAACATAGATCAGTGTAAAATGTACAAAATTGGTAACAAAGAAGAGATAGTAGTTGGGATAAGACATTAGAAAATAGTGGTTTCTGATGTACAGTAAATTCTGGGCATTTACACATTCGGTAATATATTTATAAAAAATGAAATAGTTCAAATATGGAACGAAAGAATTTATTGAAATATATAAAAGGTGGTTGAAAAGTGTAAAAAAAAAAAGGGGGGGGGAAAGAAAAAGAAAAGAAGGGAAAGAAAATAGCAGAAGTAGAGGAAATAAGAGAAGTTTGTAAATGGTTATAGTCGGAGAGTTTGTGAAGGACAGTCAGTGCGTGGTGTGTACGCATTCTGTAACGCAGCCAAGCAAACAACAGCTCATAGCAAGGGTTAACGAAATAAATTATTTGTATTGGAAACGGTGGTTGGTGTTTTCGTTGCGAGTTATTAGACAATAAGTGATTTATATGCGATTAAGTGAAACGAATAAGTATAAAAATTAAGAACATATCATGAATTTTAAAAATTAAGGTACATTATTCTAAACTTTGAAATATTTTATGTTAAAGGACTTCGTATAGATAGAGGATTTTACTTATTCCCCAACACCATATCGTTTTTATAGGCAGCAATCGAAGAAGCCTGCCTCAGAGGGTCCGAGATGGATCCCATGGAAGAAAGAAGTGATCCTGAAAAGTAAGATATGAGCAGTTAATAAGAAATAACCGTAAATCCTAGCATTTTTTCATATGTAAGGGATTACTATGATGGGCTTAGGAAAATGTTATAGATATTATTCATTTTAACATTGAAAGCGTTGATAGCAGTGTCAAAGGTCCAGACCAAATCCAGTCCTATGCATAAAAAGCCCAGACCCCGTGTTAATTACGCCCTGGCTGGGCCCAGTCTTTATGGTGTCTTAGCATTGTTTACAGCATTATGGGCAAGATTATTGACAAAGTTAATTGGCCAAACTGCCAGTTTGTTTTATGGCATGTGCAGGGGATGTCTTAGATTAAGACACATATTATGATACTTACAGGTGTGGCAAATGAGATATAGATGTATTTCATTACTTGTGATTTATAAAATACATCTGAGGGATGATACTTTTAATTTTTAAAGAAACGGCGTGTAGGTTGATTTAGTAACATTTACCAAAGAAATGTTAAATTATAGGTGGGCTCCATTTGTCAGTGTGTTATTTTAATTATCTAGATGTTATACAGATTATAGGAAAAAAGTCTGCCCTTTAATGATTTGTTGACCTTCTGGCAAAATATCTGAATTTTCTTAAGGATACAATACAAAAAGTTGTGAATTAATGGCAAAACTGTCCTCTATTTGCAGACACAGCTGTAAATGAATCTCCCTAATGTTATAATATTTTTTATTAACATCATAATCTATGCCAGTTTAGAACACTGATAAAGTCGATTCATTAGGACACAATTTTATAAACTAATAAGGTCTCAAATATATCTTTCAATACCATGCTTACATTCGACATCAATCTGAAAGCTTTAAAGTTTTTTTTTTTCTTATTTCAAACGATATTGTTTGCAAAGTCAGCATCCATTATCGATTGATTCTTTAGAATAACAATACAAATGTGTAAAAGTTACAGAAGATAACACTCAAAACACTGTGTCTAAGACATCCCCTTTATTATTACACATACCATACAAACAAACTGGCAGCTTGGCCAATTAACCTTGTCAATTAACTTGCCCATTATGCTGTTAACAATGCAAAGACACCATAAAGATTGGACCCAGCCAGGGCGTAATTAACACGAGGTCTGGGCTTTTTATGCATAGGACTAGATTAGGTCTGAGCCTTTGACATCATATTATATTTTGAAAGGATATAGATGTAAGGTATGAGAGAGTAATTTGATTTAAAAACAAAAGTTTGTGGTATACTTGTGCCATAAGTAAAAATTATATAATGGAAACAACACATATAGAAAACCGTTTCCTTATTTTCAGCGCAACAGGAACAAGCTTAATGAGTATCCACGATACCGTGATGAACAATGTTCGCAACGAATTGAACAAGCAGATTAGGTTCCTAGGATGGGATAAAGACAATCAAGATCATTCTACCCTTCTCTTCGATTTAAATGAAAGAATGGGTAAGCAGGAAATGATAAGAGTATGAAAATACATTTTCTAACATCAACGATCGATTCAAGGGAAATTATTAAGCTTGCGGATCATAGTTTTAAGGGTAAGAAGGTGGTCTTACGCAATGGATGAAACTTTTATAATAACATAGATAATATCTGTTTTGCGTTTAAAATCAATTTCTAAGTGTCGGTAGAGCGTGGATTCTTAGTAACGCATGTGCATGCAAATGACTTTCACAAATTTTGCATGCCAAGGGATAATAGGAATAACTCACTCGATAAGCCACAAAAAGCTTTAAACTCTCCTTTTTTCAAAATTTTGGTTGTAAATTTGACCTACCAATCTAACTTACATTTCAGCCCCGTTTATATTCAAATATGTCTTTAGAATGTTCAGTCGACTTTTCATAAACCAAGTACGTACAAAGACAATCATCAAGATATATAAAAAATGAAGAAAAATGAAGATTCTAGATTAAACGGCCAATTAAAAAATATAATAATAAGATTTCATACTTAAACTCCTATTTCAAGTTATCAGTTATTTAACGAATTTCAGTCGGTAGCAAGGTCCATTCAATTGCACCAGTTGACTTAAACATGTCCCCGTAAGTTTTAAACACACTTAACACGTTTCAGTAACAGTTAGTTTATTGACTGCAAATTACTGATAGGAACAATGAAATTAAGCAAGGAATGTAAATGCAATGATATCAACTGCAAATTAATTGCTTTTCAAAAGTTTATTTTATCTCCATCTGAATCCAATTGATTAAGTAAACAGCCGCTGGAAAAAGAAAACTTAGACACTCAAGTAAATAACACATATTCCATTAGCAATACCATTCTCGCACAGTCCTTGAAGTACTACACACTGTACCCAGAACTGCTGTTAGTACTGCCTCAAGTCATGGAAGACGTAAGATGTGGCAGTACCAGTCGTATGTGAACTTAGCATTCATTTCATTAAAGTGGATCAGGTCATTTCATTAATCATGCTGAGCATCGTATATATATATGTGGTTCCAGTCCTAAGTTGAGATCCTGTCGTCTTCAACTCTAATTTCCCCATACTCGCATCTATTTCAAGGGGTCTCTTGTAAATGTCAACTTTTGTGTTATCATGCTGGGAGGAGGCGGTCAGCATGTCAACTACATCACATTGTGTCAAATAACAAGTCAAATACCCTCTATTCAATGGAAATATAATAGTTATAATTTTTATTGCCATTTATACCGTATTAATACCCGAAACAATTGTAAGTTTCCGTCGTATTCATTAAAAAAACGTTTAAAATATCTTAAACCCCATTTTTGGAAGAAGGGGGCGTGTAAACGATGGACAGCCATATCAATCCCTTCAAATTTCAAATGAAATGATCCAATATCTTAGACCAGTACCCATGACGCCGGTGTAAACGTATTGCAGGTCCGCCCGGTACCGAGGTCCTACGGGGCTCTTTGCGTCCAAACTTTGCTCAGAATCTCATGTCCCACGCAAGGCCTTCTTACGAAATTTCGAGTTCGCAGACAACCCGTAAGCACGTATGGAGGATGTTGGACATGTCCAACGAACAGCGAGGCCGCAAACGAGGCCTGCAAACAGCGAGGCCGCAAACGTAACTTGCTTCCCTCGCATGGAGTTAGCAAGAGAGACGCGCGTTGTGCAAGACGCACGTCGCAAGCAATGAAGGAGCAAGTGCCCTCGTGTCTTTACAATGAAAGTCAACTGTGTAACGTGTACAATAAATTTCAAAATTTTCACATTTCTGCTCAATTTAGTTTCTAATATGCCTCCAAAAGGCAAGAGAAAGAAGCTTACATAGTAGAAAAAGGGGAGGAGGAAGAAGAAAGAAGAGAAGAACAGGAAGCAAAACTGACGTACACTGTCAGTACGTCACCACAAATGTGTGAGGCAAGTGTAAAGCAAAACTGACGCACAGGGCACTACTTTCGCCGTGCGTTGCTTTCCCTGCGTAAGTGGTGAGTGTCTCCCACGTATAGGGAAAGCAAGACAAACTCAAGAAATGAGTACAATTTCTACGACCATCGCTCCTTGCTATAGCGTCCCTGCCTGAAAGGACATCTCATGTGGTCCTTGCGACTCGTAAGACAGACTTTCCTCTACCTCTACGACCTCCACGGCCTCCGCTACACCCAAAAATCGCAGGGGACGTACGATCCTGAAATTCGTACGTCCGGTTGTGATCGAGGCTTAAGTACTTTATGGTGCCCGCAAGTGGTCTGTAGGCCTTTTTGGAAGTAGGAAGAAGTAAGGAGCACGTGGGATCTGTACTTGTGTCGCACACAGTGAGTGAGATAATCGTACGTGTATTGCAAGTGAAACGTGCGTTTTCAGAAATCGTACTTACGAAGTAAAAAAAACATAAGAAAAACGTAATGAGCACGGAAGTGTTAAGCACGACACTCGAGCGTCAAATTGGTGGAACGCACGGATAACCAAAATAATATAAAAGGGAGCGTCGAGTCTCTTCATCATTCACTGTTTTGGCTTCCAAAATGGCACTTCCAGACTGAGAGTAGACTGTTCGTATCAGCTTTGATATAGGCGCACGATGCACCTAAGCAAGTACTTGTGACGCACTTTTACCGTGCTGATCACGTGCGCCGTCTTAGTGTGACGCACTTCCCAAGTACGGTAGTGGTACTTGCCACGCACTTTGGAAGTAAGATAAACAACGCACGGAGGATGTGCGTTCACCCCCTTTTTGTTAACACGTACATTAAAAGCAAGTTGAACGTACGAGTCTCTTGCGTGGTTAGTACGTCTTCGTGGTAAAATACCCCGGAATTTCTACACGCTTTTCCTGCGTAACACGCACACCTAGCGCACTTACTCAGTACTTTTGTCTTGCGTGCTACAATTGTCGCACACAGGTCGTAGCGAAAAACTGGCCTGCCAGTTTTCGGGCTGCGTGCTTTGCGTCGTGTTTGCGTCCACCAAAAAAAAAAGCACGTTCCACTTGCGTGCATCTTACTACTTGGCCAATTTTTTGCACGCAAACTGCTTGTAGAAGCACGCACGACTGGTTGTAAGAGTAGATTTACCTCTACTTCTACGAACTCCACTGTCTCCACTGCACCCAAAATTCGTCCAGGACATACGCTGAAAAACGTCGTGCGTCCGGTAGTGACCGAGGCTTTAGAGTGTTAATTCACCGTACTTTCATACAGGGTTAATACTTAATATGGAATACTTTATATCATTGTTATTTTTGAGTACAGATTACAGTTTTTTGGCTTTATTCGTCAAAAAGTATGTCATTGAGTGATAAAAATATCCAGTCTTCTATTGTGAGATTTTTTGGTCAATAATATCAAATCTGACATACGATGTCATTTAAAAGAAAAGAACACCCCCAGAAAACCACATCAACAGTTTGATGTCTGTATTAACTTTAAGCTAAAATATTAAAGATAATAAAAGCCTCCAGACAGTGTTATGCTACACAGGCAAATAACTCATCACTGTCACTATGAAAAGTAATCAATAGCGGGTATTACCTCCAGCAGCCACTTGCAGCGCCCTCACCCTGCATGGCATACCCTGTGACGAGTTTTTCAGAGTTTGGATGGGATACCATTCCAAGCAGTGATAATTGCCTGTCGTAGTTCATCAAGATTTACCGGTTGATGACCATAGCCATTAATTCTGCTAGTTACTTCCACCCACAGATTTTCAATTGGGTTCATAGTTGGGGAGTTTCCAGGCCAGTGCAGTTGCTACACCCCATAGTTTTGAAGAAAAGCAGTGATTCTGCGAGCCAGCTCGATGTAGGGGTGCGTAATCGTCTTGGTACACAAAGTTGTTCTTGAAGATGGCTCTTACAAGGGAAAGTATTGTTTGCTGTAGAATGTCTCTGTAGGATTCCTGGTTGAGGTTGCCTTCTATAGAAAAACCAACTGGTTCTGAGCACCGGTGTAACGAAACGGAGAGTCCTGCCCTTTTACGGTCCGGCGGACGCTATGTTTTAAAACATAGTTTTAAAACATAGTTCCGAATCTTAGTGTCCGGGGGACACTGCAGTTTGAAACGTAGGGACCCCGGACCGCCAGTTTTAAAATAGAGGGACCCCTTTGAAAACTACTTAATACTACTTAATAAGGATGGAGAAAGTAAACAATAAGTAAACAAATACAAAGAAAGAATGACAATCAATTTTATTCAATCTGACTTGTGTTAATTTTCATTTATTCCACTCATAGATGGCTGTGGTTAATCTTCGTCGTCTTCTGGTAGTGTCCTGTAATATAGAAATTTTGTATTAAAGCATATGTTTAATAGAAAAATGATCATATTATTATACAATATTATAACACTATTTATCAACAAGTATAAACCATAATGGAGTAAAACTGCGTTATATACGCGCTTATGTTATAGATGTGGACTTCAAACAATGTGAAGTACCGTTTCTCTTAAGTTTCCCGCCACATTTGTCTGGCCACATGTAGGTCCCCTTCGTTTTATCCTTTCCCACTACCACGTATGATCCCATTTAACGTTGTGCAGCACCCCCTGTTATAGAAAGAAATTATTTCAAACATTCCTTTAGGAAATATGCATTTTGAGGTTAGGGCAATTCAGTGTTTGACATGATCTTGTGTCAGACATAAGTAAAAAATTAATATTTACTTATTGTAAATCGATTTTAACATAATTTCATTGTGCAGCTGTTGTATTATGGTGGTCATTCCGTCCTCATTTTCTACTACCTTTCTCCACTCTCCCCACACAGTTATTTTTTACCATCTCCTTCATTAGTTGTCGTTCTTTCTCTTCGATAGTACAAAATAACCTCTTCAAGCTGCAAAAGAAGACCATATGCAAATTTTATCTCATGAAATGTTTACAATATATTTAATATCAAACAACAGATACGGGCTTATTGCAGGTTTAATAAAATGTTCCTTATTTTTAACAGAACGTAGTATTGGTAGATGGAATACAGAAAACTACTTCATAATGATTTACAGCAGCTCTT